CCTCTTGACAAGGGCGAGTTGGTCTATTGCGCAAGTCTGGAGCCAGATGTTATGGTTGATACGCTGCACGTAGCACATCGAACAGATGTTCACCCTTTGCCCAGTTTCACACCGATATAATCTGTTTTTAGTCGTCATTCCTCCACGGACAATCCCTTGTCAACCAGGCGTCAGGGTGAGCATGTATCTGAGCATGTAGATGGATGTGCTACATCAAATTGGAGATTAGAATCGGGTTTGGCGTATCATTCGTTTTAAACTCACATCTGCAGATCAACCAGCGTCATCCCAAGCCGGTTTGCAAGTAGTCTGGTGGACAAAGTCATTTGCTGACGGACCACCTGCGAGTGTTTATTTAGTCTAAGTGTGAATGGAACATCTCTCGGATGCTTCTGACTACGGTTATTGGTACTTGTACAGAATGTATTTGCATGGGTAAGACTTTGGTCGTAAGCGAGGGCTTCTCCAACAGTCAGAATGGGTCATCACGATTGGTGAACAAATCAATCTTGATAGAGCGCAGGATGAAGTTTCCCTTTGTATATTTTCTACGCGTTTGCGTCATGATGAATTGACTGCGGTTAAGTTTACACAGTTCTGTAAAGAATCGTTGCGTCTGGATGTAACGGTGGGTGGATATATAGTTGACAAACATAGTATATTGATCAGTGATGGATTTGCGGCTAATATAGCGAGCACAGATAGCAAAATTCATACGGTTACTGTGAGTGAACATGCTGGTAGTGGACGTATAGAAGTGTTCCTCAAGCTGAGTGGGCATGAATCATAACTGGAGTCATGAAGTTCCAATATTTACTGCGAGTTATACTCCTACCCTCTCTACGGTATTTGGTATGACCCCATATAAGTTAGATACTGTTCTTATTCACCCTCATCCAGTTGATAGACTAGTTGAGCGTTTGCTGGATGATAGAGTGTAACGTGGCAAACTTTAAAGAAAGTTCAAAAATATATCTTTGTTCCTGACTTCACCTTTGGTTTATACTTAAGGTGTTTGTGCTAGTGTTCAACCGCTCGGGCTGGCAAGGTTAAAACCTCATACAGTCATATGAGAAACCTTCTGCAGAACACTTTACCACTTCGGTACTGTTATATTTCGACTTATCTGCTACTTACTCTCACGCTGGTTACATGATGCTCTTCCTTATAGGCTGTGACTCACAAAGGGGTGCAACTACTTTAGATGGTTGCGTTTAATAAACTTATTCAACTCTCGGAAATCGGTTTAGAGACTAGCTCAACTCTCGAGAGTGAATTAGTAGACTTAAATAGCTCTTGGGAGTGACCTTGCTCTAATGATTTCTATAAATCAAAGAGTTTCCTTGCTGTAAAATCTGGGTTGAGACCTGTAGTCTCTCACTCGATGAGGATATTCGGATGGTTGAACCATTAGTGTTGGTTGGTCGGTTGCCTACTCCTCGGAAACAGGAAGCAGCAAAACATATTGCGTATGCACAGCAACCTTAGAAAAGTTATGCAGATATTAATCGTATTGATTGTTCAACGTTTGCAGTAGGACGGCAAGTTTTGTATAGCCCTATGGCAGTTACTGCAAACAGTAAGTTAGAGAAGGATTGGGTGGGGGCAGCAGTAATGACAGCTTTGTTTCCCCTGTGATTTATTCTATACATGATGTGGGTTTGAAAATAAAGGAATTCCGCGTGTATGTAAGAAACTTAAGGCTTATGTTAAACCTGTAGATCAGGTGGAGAAACTCCCTCGGGGCAATTTTTCTACTTCTATTTTTGAGCAATATATGCTTTATGCTTTTCCTATACATGATATTGCGTCGAAGAAACACCAGGAACTAGTCAATTTTTTTTCGGGTCTGCAAGTCGGCCATCCATTTTCAATACAGTCGCAATGTGACCTATAAGGAGTGGGTCCGTTTACACGATGAGCATCACCACCAGCATACGGATAACTGGAAAGAGGTGCATGTCAACTTTCGGTTCCATCGGTACCAACTATTCAGTCGACACAAGTCCCAACCCCTTTAAATCCGGCGCCTGGGAAGAGGACTGTTCTTTTGTTTTGGGGTAGTAGCGGCAAGGTAACCTTAAAGAACGATCTAGGCACACCGTGCGCGCAGGCAACAGAAAAATTGTCGACAAGGCCTGCTATCACATAATTCAAACTCTAGGAGGTATTAATCACTAGCAGCATTGAGCCTACCGAGGGTGTGTGGTGTGACGGCGGCTGGGTGGAAATCACCAATCAAAGGGACTTGATAGACGATGAGTGGGCTGTGGAATACATAAAGGATTTCTGAATTTCGAAGTCGCTCGGGTAGTTGAGGTAGATACCTATATTATTGATGCTATATCGCTAAAGACCAGAACATGTGCTAAATCGCTAAAGACCAGAACAGGTGCTATATCGCTAAAGACCAGAACAACACCGGCGCCTATGTACATCAACATACCGCAGGATTTATCCCTGATGACACCGCAGAGTCTTTCAAACAAGTTTAAGAAGATGGCTGTGCAGCCACGTATGCCTAGAATCGATATACCAAGGGGTGCAAGAATCACACGACCTACTGAATCGAGGTCTACGTTTCAAGGAAGTCAAATTTGCACCCATTCAAGGTAGTGGTTTGGCTGATAAGGTAAACGGGTGCTTGGATGGTGAAGGGGGGTTTTTTCACCATCAAATAACGTCGGCGGCAAATCATCCCTGTTCTGTCCGCAGCTGGATTCATTGCAAGTGTGTCTTCTTGCTCAGGATGCTGATATTGGTGTATCAAACTTTAGGGATCTGTGAAGGTATCAAAACTCAGAACAGTTGTCTTGAACTTATTTCGACCCGTGTACTCGTCAGTACAGGAGAATGAATCGACAGACTCGTCGAGGCAATGACGAGGGAAAGACGAGTGCGCCGAATGAGAGAAAGGGCTCTACCCTAACCCCTTTGGCAGAGGTTGTTTGCCTTGTAACAGTGCTGGACAAATTCTCCAACCCAATTCGCTCTTCTGCATGGGCGAATCCATTACTAAGTGTGTACACGGTGCACACAGGTGCTTCCAAAGGTACTCGAACTTTGCCGCACCAGGTATGGCTGGTGAGTGCTATTGCTCGAATCCTTCTTATTGCGTAGAAGCAGGGTCGAGGCTTCAACTCAACATCACCAGCGCCACCACCAGCTGTTAGGAGGATTTTCTATCCTGACAAAGGTGTGGAGGTCGTGTCGCTAACAGATAACTGTCCAGAAACGAGTTGAACGAAAATATTGGTACTCAAATCCTTCAAATCTGTAATATGAACTGCAGTTTTGAAGGCGACAACTTGGGCCTACATGTCACTTGGTATAGCCCAGTATTTGTGAATATACTTACAACGCTATACATACTCCCTAAAGGCTACGACAAAAATCGTGCCGGGAAACGAACTGCTGGGTATATACTCCACAGAATATAAAAATGTTACTTCACATTTCAATGTCGAGTTGTCTGAACATAAGAGTTTGAGGCGACGGCAGGCAATATCACCGATTGCTTCTGCGCCTGCAAGTGCCAGCGTATCTTATATCGCGAAAAACGATGAAATTGAAACCAACAGCACAGAAGCATCGATATGTCCCAGTCTGCCAGCCTTATCGGCTCCGGTGACTGCTTCATAGTCGACGAGCGTTTCTTAGAGCGAAAGCGAGACGTATACGGAGGCGAGTAATTTGATTTCAAATCCAATTTGGCTTTGCTGTTTAATAGAGATCTACGATGACCTTTTAATAAAAGAATCTGATTCTACGAAAAGAATCCATCGCAGAAGCGAGTGGTCAACTATTTATAGCATTTCTTATTTACAAGCCCTGTATTATTATTTACAAGCACAGTATTATCGTCCTTCCGGAACAAAGTAGTAGATCGTGATTTAGACGACGGGTTAAATCCGTGCGAGCAAGATTGTGATAGTAATATCAATAATCTTAGGCGCATTTGACCGCTTTTGCATCAATCAAAATTCGAATAAGACAAACGGTCTGAGGTTGCGAGATTTTAGTTGCATTTAACAACCGAAGTCGATGGAAAACGCGCACAGTTTATTATTTTAATTGACAAATGGTGCGTGGAAGGTACAAGGGGCCTTGACTGTTCAGATCGGGCGAAGCCTATAGGATCATTAGAGTTCTGCAACACTCCCAAAAAGAAACATACACTAGGATTTAGTAAGGAGGCTATGTCTGGGAGAAAAAAATCATTTGAGAATTATCTTGCAATGGCTGTCCTCGAAAGAGGTTAGAGTGAGATGTTGATTTTGTATCTATCTCCAGGAATATATAAGTAATTTTTCATATAGGTATTTGAATGTGAGGCGTAGATTTATTCGCAGAGAATAAGAGATCAGTCACCATGTTCATAAGCGCAAACTCGCTTGCCAGTTCAGACGAGCACTCGAACGAAGTCTAGTTCCAAAATAGGCCGAGTAGTTCTATTTAAAGATTATACAACAGGCCGAATCAGTTCATGTGGCGTTCCTTCTAAAGCTCAGGCAATTGCACCAGCAACTCCCTTCCTATCGCGCAGCCTCATGATTGCACTCGCCAGATTGCCGAGCACAGTACGACAGCGCTCCTGCGCTTGCTCCAAACCGACCTGTTCGCACATGATAATGCGAAATGATCAAGTATCTCATTTCCAGACCGAAGCTTGTACGCCTATGTATTAATACGCACACCATGAAAATTTGCACACATACAAACTTTCCGGAATTTTGCACCAACCTTGCATACGTGACCGTGAATATATACCCGAAAGACCCTACTCTTAGCCTTTTGCCCACATGCAATATTTTTCCAGCGAAAGAGAACTAAAACATTCCGAAATAACCGAACCACCGAACCATCAACTTGAATAACACTTGAACGAAGAATCATCGTCGAAAAATGGCAGTTATAGGCCTGTGATTGATATACGTTTCCTCTCAGCCCGCCCCGATACAGGGATAAACTTGATGTATACAGAACTAATTTCCAATAAACAGTCATTTATTTCGAAGAATTACACTATATAAATATATATATATATAAATATAAATATATATATATATATGTATATATATATACACACACACACACACACACACACACACACACACACANATAAATATATATATATATATAATATATGTATATATATATATCGAATAATATTAATATATATATATATATATATATCTGTTATATATATATTTACATATATACATATGTACATACATACATATATATATATACATATATATATATCTATATCTATATATATGTATATATTTATATATACATACATATATATATATATATATATATATATATATATATATATATATATATATATATATATATATATATATATATACACACACACACG